GTTAGTGCAGCGCTACATCTGAAATAGTAAATCAGTCCAACAGCAGCAGTTGTAATGGTGACTGAATCGGAAGAACATCGACTGCTACAATAGTACAAGAAGTTGTGATTTGAGCGGTTCCCAAGAAAACTAGCGGATCTGACATTGTAAGCGTCATCAAGCACTGATCGTGACCACTTGGTATTACAGCACATTACAGCATTTGTGCGAGTTCTGTGTAAGCAGAGCGTCACTCTATTGTGATGTCCTTGAATTCGCAGTTTTACAACAATTTTGCTAAAAAGCCCAGGTTACTGTATCGTTGAAACAACAGCTTCTCCGTGAGGATTTCCACCAAGGCAGTATAATTGCTTAGCACCTCGAAATCGGCTGAGTGTATTCATCATGCGTGATAAACAAAATCATCAACTGAGTGATATAGCCGATTCAGCGTTCCTACAGAAGACCACCTGATTAGCAACACGAAACACCTGGGAGTTTGAAATGTACACCACGAATTCTGCACATCTTAAGAATGTTCAGGGCGAAAGCTAGTAAATACGGAAATTTGTCAGAGCGGATGTGCTAAGATACGGCCGGAGATAATTTACTGCAGCTTACATCCTACCTTTGATCGAATACGACAGACCAGTGATATTTCCAGGTCTGGTCACTGCTGATTTCCAGGCATGCCGGTGCACCCGCCGATTAATCTGCCATAACACTATTGCTTCATGTGTGGCCGATTACGTGGTCTTTGCTACTGTCACTGTTGGTTGAAAGATTCCTCGGGATCAGATGTACTGCTTGCTCCAGACTTTTCTAGAGGTATTTTCAGGTATTAGACTTAATGATTTACGTATCCACCCACGCAACTTAAAAATGTCAGTTATTCCATTGACTGACCGAGCTAAGTAAAAAAAATCTTTCTCAGGAAAATATTTGTGAATCTGCTGACTTGCGACTGATGCCAATTGGTACTACAATAAGCTAATAAGCTGCACATTTGATTACAACAACAACAACAACTGAATCATAATGATATAAATTTAATAACTAATTAACTGGAAATGACAGAAGAGAAGGAACATAATGGCTCCTTGCGCTTCGTACAAAGCGCGTATTCCTCTGTTTATGTTTAAAACGGCATTATTTTGTGGGATGCAGCGGCAACGTAATAAGATCGCGGATCGTTTTCGAGGAAAACAGAGAAAAACATTTTCTTTTAACCGCCAATCAATTCCCTTGAGCAAAGAACTGACTCAAAGTTGTTTCGGGGTAACAGGCCGAGAAACGGGTAGCAAGTCACTGATGTGCGAACTATAAGGATAGCGTGCGATTCTTGTGTGCTCACACCATAGTGGTCGAGACCTACGGCAACATTATGTCCGATGGGAAGGCCTGTTGAGTGTACTTCGTCTTGATTCATCTGGTAGCCCATTATCCAGTGTGATAAGAAAACAAACAAACTGCAAATTACAAAAATTATACAAACGATAGCCACTTACTGTCGCTACCGAATTTAGATTCCAATTCAGTGCAGCATCATTCCCTGTTACACGGTTAGAGCGAATGTGTTTACTGCATTCCATTTTTGGTTTCATGAAATCAGAGTAAAAATTAGGCAAATCTCTATTCTAGAATACTACCGCGGTGGTACCCTGAGAAAAAGTCAGTAGATGATGAAATGATAAATAACAGGTGCAGGTATAGGCTCGTCAATATGAATGTAAAAGAACGGTTGACTAGCTGCCTAATACTTACTATACGCCACCTGTTAAAGCCTGAAAATCATTCTGAGAATTTTCCAAAATAGCAACCAGTGGCAAGTGTGCGCCGGTAAAGGGAAAACGGGTAGCTGCGAAACGCATTACAGAAAGGGATGTTGGGGAAAGTCATTTGCACATTTGCACAGTTGATCGATTTTGGCAATGAGAGACTGAAGACACCAGGTTTTACTCAATAATTCCTCAGCCTCTTGGGATAGGAGGAATTACACACCGAAATTCAACCAGCATTGCTGCCGTTGAATGTGACGCTTAGCTAAACGAAGCTGCGATTTGTGGCTTAAGATATAACTTATAGTTAAGCATTAAAACTTCTTGCCCGGAGGTACTAAATCCTGGCACAGTTCTTATTCGTGAAGCCTCGATCAGAGGAGTCGGCGCTTCTGGATGAAGTGCGACAGGCGGCGCTCGTAAATGCAAAAAACGCGCTCGACTCGCCGGATCAACGGCAGGGAAAGCTGGTTCAGCTGCCAGGGCGTCGGAATGAAGCTTCCTCTTTCGATGCCAGCTGGCGCGGATGGACGACGACCGAGCTGGGCAAAAACCATAGAGAAATCGAGTTCCAGCCGACTGGAATGACCGAAGGAACGACCTCCGTCGATCGGCCGTCGATGACTGTGGTCGACCGACGCCGCATTCGTCTCCTCTTCGGCGTAGTGGACGCTGAACTATATCTCGCGTCCAAGTTGCTGGCGCCGTTGCCATAGCTTTTTTGCAAAGAGCTGTCTCTGAAACGCTTGTTCGGTAGAATACGAAATGATTTACGGTACATCGGCATCCTTAAATCGACGCTTTCATGCGATCGCTACGCCGCATCTTGTACATCACACATCACAGGGGGAATTTCCATGGCGAGACATGTGAGTGACAGTATTCGATATATGACGGAATTTCAACTGATTAGCATTCGACTCGGT